GAAATCTCCCTGAGGCGTAGATACGCAATTCGGAACAGACCAGTGGCCTGTAGAAGACCTTCATAGCTGATCCCGCGTTGTCCAACAACGAGTCTACTGGCAGCATGTTGTACACGCTCTAACTGATTCAGTTCACCGGGTGTGTAGGGGTATGTCGCTGCACCACCATACTCAAGTCTTGGTCTGACATGGGAAGCGTACAGCAGCCTGAAAGTGTCCATCGTGAGATGGTTGAAAGACCGCCGAATAGGCCCCAGAATGCTCCATGCGCTAGCATAGACCCGATTGGTATTTTCTCGGGTCTTTGGCAATGACGTAACCATAACACCCAGGTCTCGTTCGCATGATGTTGTGCGCAGTATGGTTCCCTGGAAGTTGTAGACTACCTCTGAGTCAGTACGTCCCAAGTGCAAGTGAGCACACTTTGCTGTGTTGACCTGAAGAGCCCAGGTATCCGCCCACTGAGCCACGTTATTCAAATCCGCTTGAAGAGAACTTCGATCATTCGGATCCTTGATTGTACGCCAGATTTTGATGTCATCCGCGTACATGAGGGATGGGCTACACAATTGACCGTGCAGTTCGTTCACATATACCAAAAACATCAGTAGACCAAGAACCGAGCCTTAGGGGGCCCTACTGGGAGCGGAATACCATGCAGAGAGCGATTTGTTAACACGGACGCAGAATTTCCGGTCGATGAGGAAGGCCTTACTGAAGTCGACGAAGATGATGTCCGTTTCGTGTCCTTTGGCCTTGTCCTCGGTCAAGCATTCCTGCACAAGTATCAAGTTTGAGAGGCATGAGCGATCCGGCCGGAAACCGTGTTGGTGGTGGCACAGGTGACCGTGGCACACCAAATGCTGCCGAAGCCTTGCAGCCACCAGTCGCTTCATTGCTTTACCCACAACGCTAATAAGGCTGACTGGTCGGTAGTTCCCAGGGTCACTCCTATCCCCAACTTTGGGCAGTGGAACAATGACAGCGTCCATCCACTGCCGCGGTAAACGCCCTTGAGTGAATGACAAATTGAACAGGTTGGACAGTGGCAATGCAAGTTCATCTGCCAGCTCCCTCAGAATAAGCTGGTGTATACCATCAGGTTCAGGTGACTGTTGAACCTTTAGTCGACGCAGCTCCAGGATCACTTCTTCGATTGTAAATGGGGTCCAGTTCAGCGCAGTGTCAGTGTCCAGTAGATGTACCAGTGTGCTGGAGTCTGGGGTGTACACGGAGGCATAATGTGATGCCAGCATCTCCGCTTTGTCCCCATCTTTTTCGACTAGTGCCCCATCTTTGGCGAGAGTCGCGAGACCAGGCGTTGATCTGATTCTTCGCCTGAGGTAGGCATACAATCGCTTTAGTGGTTGTACTTTTGCAGACGATTTAGGTCTTGTTGCGTTTGCACTAGCTTAACATCATCCGCAAACAAAACACAGCCCTACCAGTTCTTGGGGCAGATCGTTGATAAACATGATGAAAATTAGAAGTCCTAATACCGATCCCTGGGGGACGCCACTGAACGCTGCTGCTCTACCCGACCTTGCCCCTTCCACCTTAACATGGAAGGTTCTCCCACAGAGGTATTCGTCGGTCCACCTAACGATGCCGGGGCTAAAGCAGAGTGCTTGTATTTTTCGCACTAGAAGACGATGGTTGATGGAGTCAATTCCTTTCTGAAAGTCAAGGTGGTATACTTCGACTCCATGTCCTCTGTCTAGTCTGGCCGAAACCTCGTCAAGAAATTTTAGTAGGTTAGTCAAACACGACTTCCCCTTAACAAATCCATGTTGCTTGCCCGATAGCAAATCGTGAGTTACTAGGTGCTGCGCCATCCTATCCCTCAATACTCTTTTTAATACCTTCAGTAAGACCGGTGTGAGGCTGACCGGTCTATGATTTGTCGGTGCCTACGTGCAGCCCCCTTTATGTGTGGGGACTACTCCAGCCACTTTCCAGTCTTCCGGCACAGTTGCACTCTCAAGTGACAGACTGAATAGTCTCGCAAGCGGGTCACTCAAGACAATAGCTAGCGGCTTCATAATTGCCGGGTGGATGCCGTCCGACCCTTCAGACTTGTGCCCTTGCAATCCCCTCAGCACGAGCTCTAGTTCCTCCGGGTGAAAGAGTGGCTCTGCCATCACCTTGACCCGGTCAGTTTGAAGGACTGGTGTAAATCCCTCATCTGCGTGATGCACCGTCTCAAAGGACCTCTTTATGATCTCAGCTTCCTCTGTGGCACTTCCAGCATGCTGCCCATTTTTGTCTTTCACAGCCTACTGCTGACCTAATGGCAGCCTAAGACTGGACGTAGTTGTAGTACGCCTTCGGGCATGTCTTGGCCTTAAGTGCGAGACACGTTTCATACCTCAACTGACGTGCTCGCTGAACCCTCAGCGCAGCTTCAGCAGACTTTCTGTATTGTGGAAGCCTTATATGGCGTCCTGTTCCTCTGAAACTTGCCCATGCAGCATGTTTCGTCGTTGGGACTTGCCCAAACAACTCATCCACAACGGCGGTCTTCCTTGCTTTAGGATTTTCCGGAATGGAGCAAATTCTTGCGTAAGTTCAGTAAGGTTGCCTCTGATAACTCCCGACAGTTCCCCAACTGTGTTTATGCTTTCTCCCCAGCTTAAAGTGGCGGCCCTGTCCAGCAACCCTTGAATGTTCATTCTTTTAAAGGATCATCGTGTCTTATCCAGTGGATTGTCTGGCGTAGATGGTACATCGAAGCGTATTACTACATGGTCGCTGCGACCAATTGGAGCTCTCAGTACCACGTTTCTTACATCGTTTGGGCACAAGTCAAGCAGCCCTGCTGTGCATTCAGCCCTCCATCTCGTGGGCTGCAGTACATGCTGAATTAGGTCTCGCTGCCGTAGAAACGTAATCTGGTGACCCCCGAAGGATGTTGGAGGAGCCCATTCGTCCTGCCAGTTTACTTCTAGTGCGTTAAAGTCCCCCACTGTTACTATGTTATCCGGTGCTTCGCCTACGGTTTTCAGTAGATCTAGCAGTGCAGCGTTTTGCTCCACGCTCGTTGATGGGCTTCTGTATACGCAAACGAAGTTGACCCACCCGCTCCCACTTTTTACTCTGCACGAAACAGCTTGGATACAGGGACAGTTTAGTGTGATTCCGGCCCGCTGCTCGAGGTATTTTGCCATTAGCCGCAGGACTCCCCCTCCTATTCTCCCATCTCCTCTGTCAGTTCCATAGGGACAGTAGTGTTCCAAAATGAACGTGTCGATACTCTCTTCTGGCGTCAGTCATGTCTCTGTTATGGCCATGCACTGTACATCCAAGGCCTCTGCTTTCAGCTTCTCCCATGTATTACTAATGCTACACGCACTGGTGAGGAGCACTTCTAAACTGTTTTTAGCCTGCAGTTTCATGTTTGCCCCAGAGCACTGATGGCTTGTGTCGCCATCTGGGATCTGTTTTTGATCTTTCCTTCTCTACTTCGGAGCCTCCCTCAGTAACCCTAACACCTATTACAGGCTTTTCTTCTATGTTCCGCTCGGGTAGATTCTCTTCGGCCAGCTGGTCTCTGGTGTGTCTAGTTTTCGGCCCAAGTGTGTTCCGTTCCCCGTACTTTCACTGGCAGTCCCTCTTCCCCAAGGACTGAGTCCGTGTAAATTCTCCCTTCCACTGAACTGACCTTGAGACGCGGTACGTTCAAAATTTAACCTCGCTATCGGTTTTTGTATTCCCACAAGTTTTATACTCTCTCAGCTCCAATTATTTTCTTCCAGCCAGCAAAAAATCTTTTATCATACCGTCCAACCATTCAATGGCTGACGAAACCTTTCTCGGATCCTCTGACAAGGACGCCCTCCCGATGAGGTTAAATGAACCTTTGTTGGTCATGGATAAAACTCTTTCACAGGCCG